GTTGTTATATTAAATTTATTTTACATTTGATTTTTGTCGTATTAAATACTCAAATACAAGGTTTCTCTTTTTTTGAAGTTTATTACATAATAATTTAAAGTAATTAAATAACATTATATTTAAACATATAATAACATGGGATTTCTTTTTGTTTTTTTTTTGTTTTAAATTTTATTTTTAAATTATTTTTGTTTTTGTTATTTACTTTTTTTGAACACATTTATTCCAAACTCTCAAAAAACACATTCATATTTGTTAGGGTTACGGATTTTTGTTGTTGATTTAATAATTTTTGCTCTAGCTGTGACATTTTGCAATTAGGTTTTGTCAAATGAAGTTGGGTGTGTATTTTTTTATTGAAATTCTTAAGGAGAAGAGAAATGGGAAAGTTGTAAAGTATACAAGGTAGAATACATATTTATATATTTCTTTAAAAATTTAGAAATTTTCTGGTACGACTCATAAAAAATTTTATTGTAAGATATGAGAAAAGTCGGATTAAATTAATTATCGGTTGTCAAATTACAAATTAAATTCCTTTTCGAAAAATTTGTTTTTTTTTTTGAAAATTAAATGTATTTTCCTGCTCCACTGTGTGGGTTGTTTAGTTCTGGAACGAACAGGTTCAAGGAAACTATTCTGCAAATAGAGCGATCGGTACTAGTTCCGGTTTTTTCATTCATATTGTTTATTTTTCGTTAATTTCAACTCTCGTTGACATAGTTCCTTATTGTTGAATTAACTGGTGTTTACTAGTGGACGATTGAACTAAAATGGAACGATGAAACTAGTTCCATTTGCGGACTGAACCAAAAAAGCTTGAACCGGTTTTTAAAACGAAATTGCCCAACATTACGGGTGTATAAGATTCATTCGACAAAATCGATTTTATTGAACATTATGTTCATATTCCTACCTATTCCTACACCATTGTGAAGAGTTGGGTACAAGTTCAAAGGAACTATTCTGTAAATAGAACGGTCTATACTAGGTTGGCTTCTTTCGTTCATCTAGCTTCGCTTAGGATTCGCATTCCTTCACATAGTTAATATTGATCCAATTAATTTCGAAGTCGAGAACAAAATAGTTTAACGGTAATATGTAGCAAAAGTGACGTCGTTCATTTTTTACTGTCGTTCACCTAGTTCCTTATGATTGAATAAACTACTAGTGAATGACTGAACTATGGAACTAGTTCCATTTGCGGACTAAACCATGAAAGATTGAACCGGTTTAGAAACGAAATAGTATAACTTTACCGGTGTATAAGTTCCATTCGACAAAATCGATTTTATTGAAATCGATTTTATTGAGAGTGAACCAAAAAAATATTGAACCGGTTAAAGAACGAAATTGTCCAACTTCCTCGGTGTATATGTTCCATTCGACAAAATCGAGTTGGGTACAAGGTCAAAGGAACTATTCTGCTAATGGAACGGTCGATACTAGGTTGGCTTCATCTAGCTTCGTTTATGTTTTACATTCCTTCACATAGTTAATTTTGATTCAATTAATTTCGAAGTCGGGAACAAAATAATTTAAAGGAAATGTGCAGCAAAAGGAACTAAAGGAATTAGTTTCTTTTTGTACAGTCGTTCATTTTTTACTGTCGTTCATCTAGTTTCTTATGATTGAATTAACTGGAGTCAACTAGTGAAAGATTTAACTAACACGAACTATGGAACTAGTTCCTTTTGGAGAGTGAACGTAAAAATGATTGAACCGGTTAAGAAACAAAATTGCCATATTTTACCACTGTGTGAACATGGAAATAGAACTGCCAGATTTTGATTCCAAAGGAGCGAAAATTCCCTAGAATATATAGACACTATGACATCCTCATGGCATTAAGCTTAATTGGAGAACTTTATATATTATGCACATTTGTACTGTTTTCATACTAGTGTTCTGAACTTTCTAATAGATACGTCTTTAAGATTTGTCGATTGCCTATTGGCATTGTCATTTATATTAAATATATCTTTCCTGGTTAATAGACCCTGAAAATTATAGAATTTTTTTCCAGTGGAAGATATTTCTAATTTCCTTTTAAAATAGAGATGTCAGATGTCTAAAATTTAAAACCCTATCCAGTTCATTCGATTTTTTATCGGAAAATTTGAATTTTTTTAATTAAAAACGTACTCAGTACGCTTTGGCGTACGAACATGTGTTGTGTTGTATGCTGCGAGTTGAAAACTCAATTGTCAAACAAATTGAAGAACCCCGTAAAATTTGCGAGCTGCCATGAAAGTTTGATATAATTTTTAACATAAACGTACTTAGTACTGATTGACGTACGACCATGTGTTGTGTTGTTTACAGTGACACGAAAAAACAATACGTTTGTCATTATCGTTCGAAAGTATACATTTTTAAAATAGAGGAAATAGAGGAATAAACCTCAGATGTCGTCACTGAAACCCTATCCACGTCATCTGATTTTTCCATTGGAAAATTTGATTTTTTTTTATCAAAAACGTGCTCAGTACGCTTTGGCGTACGAACATGTGTTGTGTTGTTTGCTGCGACTTGAAAAATCAATTTGTAAAAAACAGAAGAACCTCGTAAACTTTGCGAGCTGCCACGAAAGTTTGATATAATTTTTAACATAAACGTACTTAGTACGGATTGACGTACGACAATGTGTTGTGTTGTTTACAGTGACATGAAAAAAACAATACGTTTGCCATTATCGTTCGAAAGTATAACTTTTTTGGTATAAATTCACTCAGAATGGCTTGACGTACGACCATGTGTTGTGTTGTTTACAGGGATTTAAAACAACAATTTTCCCAAAAAATGGAAAGAAATGCTTTAAAAATCGAGGTGCTTCTGAAGGCGTTTATATGATTGTCACAGGTGATTATCATCATGGAACTATGCGTATGAGCCCGAAAAAAACACACAGAAATCGATCGTTAAGGTCTTCGAAGACAAAATTTGGTAGTGGAAGAAACACTTCTCTTTAAATGTTCGCCTGTGGCGACTGTTTGGCATGATCGATTTGAGGGATACACCACAATTTGAAATATTTTGAACTAAATCGAACGGACATGAAATACATTTCATACTTGGGTACCAATATAGTGGGATCTACCACACATCAGCCCAAACCAGCGCACTTTTTGATGAGTCAAACGTGGAATTCATTTCTGATTCTCGTATTTCCTCTATCTTCTGGTCAGTAATTTTCGAACCTCTTGAACTGAAAAATATGAATTTCAGGATATATCCACAATATTAAGTATTTTGAGGTTTTCAGACACGGATTTGCTGTTTAGATTGCTTTTAAAATTTTCAAAAAAAAAAAAAAAAAAAAAAGATTTTGGGTATTTCGCTCATATAAAAATCCTGGCCCTGTTATAGGATTTTGAGAATTTTTTCAGACAAAGTGTCTAAGTTGGCTCTGATTTCTTTATGTTTCCGGGGTCTATAATTCCTCAATTTTCGCTTTTAAATTTTTCTTTAAAAAATATTAAAAATCGGTTGAACTTTGGGCATTTCATTCATATACAAATCCTGGCCCTTTTATAGGTATTTTGGGTTTTATAAATATTTTTCAACAGAAGTGTCTATATTTTCGCATTACGAGGTCTCTAAGTCCCTGCAATTTTCGGTATATTCAAGATCCTATTTTTCAATTTTTCTCCAGGTACAGCTCTCCTTTAAAAGTCCTGTTAGATGTTCTGTACTTTGAATGTTCATTTCATAATGAAGGGCATAAAAAGATTGGCCCGTTCGGACTTAACAGCTCTTTTTCTTGTTAATATTCAACATTTATTTTGAAATCACATACCCTTCCAGTTCAAATAGAAAGGATTCCCTACTCTTTAAGAATTTCAATAAAAAAATTACCCACTCTCTGTAATGTCCTAGTTTTTGTTTGTTTTTCTTTTTTTCGTTTTGGTTTTCTCTAATTTTATAATACTAAAATGTATTAATAAAAAAATTCTTATTATTTTTTCCAATTTAATTTTCTTTTGTATTACATAAAATACTAGACACTATCTGCAGGTTTTTTTTTAATAATTTAATTATAAATTTATTGGTTTTAATTTTAAATTAATGGTTTGTTTTTTTTTGTTTCTTCTAAGAATTTTTTGAAATTTATTATATTATTCATAGTTGTTTTTTTAATTTAATTTCTATTTTTTGTTTTGTTGCTTGTTGGTGTTTTTGTTTGTTTGAATATTTTCATTTTTTTGTTTAATTATAATTAATAATAATAAATTTTATTTTTTTAATATTTACTTAAAGTTAAATTAAATTTGATTTAATTTTAGAATTTTTTCATCAATTAGTTTAGGTTTTTTTTTAATTTTTTTTCTTAAATTAGCTTCTTTTTTTTTTGATAATTATAAGGACTTCAATATAGATTTTTTTAATTTGAATTATTTTTTTTTTAATTTTAATACAAAACAAACGCCTTTCATGAGACAAATGAGTGAATTGGGGGAGGAGCGAAGTGGCAAATTAAAGGGGAGAACGTTTTACTGAAAATTAAAATGATTTTTTTGTTAAATTGGGGAATGAAACTGCATATTGTAGTTGTTGTAGCTATAATTTGAAAATTTTTTTTACAACTGCATATATATTTCTTGTGTTAATAATTACAAAGATTCTGCACATGATTTGGGGGTGTTGGACTTTAACGGATTTTAAGGTTAAAAAAAATCATAAGAAAAAATTAGTCAGTCTTTCTTATAAACAATGCAAGATTTTGTAGCGAATGGATTTACACGCGGCATTAGACAACCAATGATATTTCACATCACTCGAACATTTGAGGTACCAGATGGATAGTTCAATATTTTCCATATTCGAAATGTCTTGGGGCTTAAAACCCTGTCGCTATTAAGTTAATTTTGGATTAGGTGAGAATGTGGAACAAACTAGTTCAAAGAAACTATTCCACAAAAGAAACGATTGGTATTAGGTTCATTCTTTCGTTCATCTAGTTCTTTTTGACCTAGTCCTTAATTTTCGATCTGATTTACCTATCATTTACCATGAGGCAATCGTTCATCTAGATTTTTCCCCGCATTGGTCAAATTAAGTGGCGTGTAGCAATGAACGATTGAACTTAAAGGGACAAAATGAATAGGGAGTTGGTCATTTTGTAATGAGCCGAAAAAATCGTGCCAATTCAGGAACGAGATTGTCTCTTGAACTCTAATAATCATCGGAAATAAAAAACTATGTAATCGATAAAAAGTAGTTACGGAAATTCAAATTAAACATTTTGAGTCTAACGTAAATGAACTGTTTTGTGATCAGGGCTAAATTGAACTGTATAGACAGAAATAGTTCACATGGTTCTTTTCTGTGAATTGTTCAATTGCACTAATCCTTGAATCAACTTGTTAACCTTGTTAACAATAATTTTTTACAACATTCCATGTGGATAATTAGTACATCGATAAGCATAAATGTTTTCAAAGGAACAGTTCCCACGAAAGCAACATTGTTTATTTAGACCTTCCCGTTCATTATCCGCAGGAGCGAAACGGAAAAATGGAACTGGTTCAGGAACGCGATAAAACGTAAATCTATAGAACTATGAAACACTGGTTTAATGAATTCCGTCGAAACTGAAGTCCATTCAAGGACAAAGGTCGCCATAAAACTGCTGATGTGCTACAGAACATTGGCACCGTGATTGAACTGATAATGCAAGATCGTAATGTGATATATCGTAAGATAGTTGATTGGTGCAGTGACATTCTGGAAAACTCCAATTACAGTGCTTCAAGTACGATTACAATATCGTCAAGTGCGGCGAATCGTAGATATATTCGTATGAGCCCGAAGCAAAACTGCAATAAAACGTATGAGCCTTTGATGAAGAGTCAAATCTAACGAAAGTTGTTTACGGATTAAGTCATAGGAACTAGGGTTCAAATCCCAACCGGTATCAAGATTTGCCGAAACGTGGAAGTGATAGGTTATTCGCCACACAGACCTAACTTGGCGCCCAAATGGCGTGATCAACTAATATAGTCGTCAAAGGATGTTTTGAAGCATTCGATAAACATGACTTTGAGTAGTCTCAATCGGATTGAAAAAAATTCAATAATTGCTTTGAGCACATACAAGAGGATAAAAATCATGCCACAGAATATTTTGAAAATCAATGAAACCATTTAAGATAATAAATATTCGCAACTTCATATATATGGGATTGTTCTTTACAATCTGTAAGGTTATGTTCCGATCCTCCGTATTCCTAGATAATGTCTTTTTTTAGTTTTGTACATGTTTTTCCGACGAAGAACAAAATATTTGAACTTTGATGTTCATCACTAGTGAATTAAACCATCAGTTAATAAATTGAACTAAAAATATTTACATAGACTAACCTAGCTTTCTACGAACAAAACCTGGTAGTAGTTTCGTTTAAGAAACCTGACTCTAGGATGTTTATATTGTAGATATTCAGCCTAATCGCGAGTAACAAATCCTAGTTCCTGAAGGGGTTCGCTCCGCAAAAGGAACTAATTGATTAATGTAGTTCCTTTCAGTTGAGTTGAATAAAAGAACCAAACGAACCGGAACTAGCACCGATCGTTCCTTTTGTGGAACAATTTCTTTGAACTAGTTTCTTACGGAAGAACTAAAGGAACCAAATTGTACGAAAAAACCTGGTAGAAATTTCGATTGACAATCTTGGATCTAGGATGAAGGTATTGCAGATATTCCAATCACTAATAATAAATCATAGTTTCTGAAGTTATTCGCTCCTCAGAAGGAACTAGTTCATTTAGTAAGAATCAAAACAAAAGAAGATTAACGATTGAATTGAAAGGAACTAGGTGAAGGAGAATGAAAATGAACGATGGGAGAAACTTGAACCTAGGAAGCATGAACTTGTTTGCTCTTCAAAGGGAACTAGTTCATTTATTTTATTCCATAGTTCCTTTCAGTTCAGTGGGATCAAAGAATCATATAGAAAGAAGGTGAGCGATTGAATTGAAAGGAACAAGGTTGACGATGGCAAAAGTAACGACTGGAGCAAAAAGAATTATAGAAAAAAACAAGCAACGATCATTCCTTTTGCGGAATGGTTTTTTCAACTAGTTCGTTATGCAACAAATCAAGAACCGATTTCTAGGAAAAAACCCGGTATTAGCTTCGTTTAAGAAACATAGTTATAGGATGTTGGTACGGTAGATATTCAGTCCAATTACGAATAACAAATCCTAGTTCCTGAAGTGGTTCGCTCCTCAAACGGAACTAATTCATTTATTTAGTTCCATAGTTCCAGTTCAGTTGGATCAAACAATCAAAAGGAAAGTAGACGAACGATTGAATTGAAAATGGATCGTGAAAAAAGAACCGACTGATGCAAAATAATCTATGGCACCTAAGGAACCAATATCCGATCGTTCTTTTGAATTAGTTCAATATGGAACAATCCAAAACTGAATTTAACGAAACAAAACCTGTTCGTATAGGAAACTTGAATCTATAACAAATCCATGATTCTGAATTGGTTCACAACTCAAAAGGAACTAGTTTATTTATTTAGTTCCATAGTTTCTTTTCAGTTCAGTTAGATCAAAGAATCAGAAAGAACGAAAATGAGCGATTGAATCGAAAGGACAAAGATGGGAGACAACAAAAAATTAGCGACTGGAGGAAGAATAATTTATAGAATCGAAAGAACCTAGCACCGATCGTTCCTATTGCGGAATAGTTCCTTTAAACAAGTTCGTTACGGAACAACCGACTCAGCAAAGAAAAACCGAAGCATATATTACAAATTTATGATAATGAATAACATTCGGCTGCAATTTTGGTGCTGTAGAATTATTTTAACGATCAAGTTTAAGATGTGAACAAATATATCACATACTTAACTAAAATTTTGATTTCAAATAATTTCATATTTATTTTTATCATCACATAAAACGGGTAATCAATATTCGAAAAACAAAAACTCATTAGAGATGCCACATTTTTTGTGAAAAAAGTATTTTTTTAAGGAGTTTGACTATATCTTCTAATACTACTCGATTTGTAAATCGAGGAACTAAATCTGGGCTGTTGAGGTTATTATTAAAATAATAAAAAATTGTAGATCAGCTGATATCTGTTTACATATCCATTCACAATTCAGAATTTCTGTGGCCAGTTTTGCACACACATGGAAATTATTTCTAATTCCACTTAGCTGGTCAGCGTTGCCATTTTTGATACTATTAGGAAATGTGAGGCATACAGTGTTGTATTTGAAATAAATTCGATTGGCATGGGATTTTGAAAAGTTTAAGATAATGAGCGAATTTAATTTTGTAGGTAAATCGAGTTAAATGCTGATTCAAATATCTAATAATATATATTATATATTATTTATTGGTTGTTTCTCATGAGGAATATTTTTGAGTTTTTTTTTTTTTTTTTTTTTTGGAAATTTGTATCTTCAAAATCTTGCATTGTAAAGCCTTAAGATTTCGCAAAGAAATTAAAATCCGAAAAAAAAACAATTAAATTAAATATCGCCATATTACTTAATAAGAAAAACATAAGAATTTCTGTGCGCGTGGACGGTTTTCAAAGCTTTTTTATACAATATTATTTATTATTATTTTATTTTGTTATAATTTATTTTTTTATTTTATTGTTTTAAGTATTTACAATACATATTTTTTTGTTTTGATATTATCAGTTTAACTAATGCAACTTAAATATATTGCATATTATTAGTCAGTCAATATATAATTTGTTTTAAGTATTTTTTATAAGGAACACATAAATAAAGATAAGGGATAAAAATAAATAAATTAGTCAATTGGACAAAATTTTTAGCCAACAAATATATTTTTAATTATTAAAAAGACTGATTAATACAAAATAAAAATACGAAAAATCTATTTTAAAGCCCAACACCCAAAATTCAAAGTGTTTCAAAGTAATGTCATATTTTTTATAAATTTAAATCATAAGAGATTTTTTTGTTAATTTTTTTTACTCTGTTAAATTGCTTGTAACATATTTGAGTTGTTGTTTGTTTTCTGCTTCATTTTTTCTTTTAATTTTTATTGTGTGTTTTAATATTTTACATCTGATTTTATTGTTGTTGTTTATTTATCTGAAGATTTGTACTATATTTGATCAGTATTTAAATGGTGGGGAAATATCGATGCGGAGGGGACAGAAAAGGCGATGCGAAGCAGATGTTATTAAATTATATTTATTTCTTAGATTTTGTTTTGCATAAATGACTAGTAAAGCTGTTGATATTTTCTTTGAGATATTTTTTACATTTGGGGACCAATAAATTATTAATTTGGGAAGCCAAAAAATGTTGAAGTAATACCCTTGCATTTAATATTGTTTTAAGATTTCTGTTTCTTCATCTATTTTCTTGAATGTTGTAAATGCTTTGAATTTGATTTTAATTTTATTGATAATTTTTACTATATGTATATGTATGTAATATGTATGTAGGTGAGTGTGTGTTATGTTGATGTGATGGTGAAATTATTTTGCTGTTATGCTATTTATTTTAATTTACATTTAACAATTATTTAATTAATTATTATTATTTTAAATTTAAGTTTGTTATAATCTAATTAAGTCTGACTATTATTTAACCTAATATAAGAAGTTGTTCTTGCTGTTGTTGGTTAATGGTTTATTTTTTCATTTATTATTAATAATAATTTATTGACGGCAGTATTTATACATTAATATTTCATATATGGGTGTGTGGAGGATTATCAATGATGTCATTTGAATGCAACAGATAAATATTACTTTAATTGATGGCAAAATTCTCTTATAAAAGTTCTTTAAATTGATATTGAAGAAAAGAAATATTTAGAAATGCAAACATTAATGGACTTTCGCAAGCACCATAGATTAGGGTCATTCCTTTAAACTACTACTACTACTTCATTAGAAATAAAAAAAAGATCGGAACTAGGTTCAGCTCTTTAGTTCATATAGTTTATCTAGTTCATTTACTTGAACCAATTATTCATTTATTTGGACAAAATAAATCAACACTGAACAATCGCAACT